TGGCTCCCCCCCCACCCCCCTCCCGAAGCCAGAGCCCGACACTGACCCGGCGAGTCTGGACCGGCAAACGCCTTCGACTCTGAGAGCCCAGCCCCAAGACTGGGAGACCGAGAGAAGCACGACCAGGCGGCTGCTCTGCACGGCCCAGGGAGAGAGACGGGGCACCCGGCTGGGCTCCGCTGCTGGCGCCAGCAGAGCAGTAGGGCCTAGTAGTTGAAGAAGGGGGGGGCAGGACTCCTGGGTTCTCCCCCTGCTGTTTTCAGGGGACTGGGATCCCGAATCCCTGGCAGGGGAGGGCAGTGGGGTGTAGGAGTTAGCACAGGGGGGACTGGGATCCTGAATCCCTGGGGTCTATTCCTACTAGGGGAGGGCAGTGGAGTGTAGGAGTTAGCGCAGGGGGACTGGGATCCCGAATCCCTGGCAGGGGAGGGCAGTGGGGTGTAGGAGTTAGCACAGGGGGGACTGGGATCCTGAATCCCTGGGGTCTATTCCTACTAGGGGAGGGCAGTGGAGTGTAGGAGTTAGCGCAGGGGGGACCGGGATCCCGAATCCCTGGGGTCTATTCCTGCTAGGGGAGGGCAGTGTGGTGTAGGAGTTAGCACAGGGGGGGACTGGGATCCCGAATCCCTGGGGCCTGTTCCTGCTAGGGGAGGGCAGTGAGGTGTAGGAGTTAGCACAGGGGGGACTGGGATCCCGAATCCCGGGGGTCTATTCCTGCTAGGGGAGGGCAGTGAGGTGTAGGAGTTAGCACAGGGGGGACTGGGATCCCGAATCCCGGGGGTCTATTCCTGCTAGGGGAGGGCAGTGAGGTGTAGGAGTTAGCACAGGGGGGACTGGGATCCCGAATCCCGGGGGTCTATTCCTGCTAGGGGAGGGCAGTGAGGTGTAGGAGTTAGCACAGGGGGGACTGGGATCCCGAATCCCGGGGGTCTATTCCTGCTAGGGGAGGGCAGTGAGGTGTAGGAGTTAGCACAGGGGGGACTGGGATCCCGAATCCCGGGGGTCTATTCCTGCTAGGGGAGGGCAGTGAGGTGTAGGAGTTAGCACAGGGGGGACTGGGATCCCGAATCCCGGGGGTCTATTCCTGCTAGGGGAGGGCAGTGAGGTGTAGGAGTTAGCACAGGGGGGACTGGGATCCCGAATCCCGGGGGTCTATTCCTGCTAGGGGAGGGCAGTGAGGTGTAGGAGTTAGCACAGGGGGGACTGGGATCCCGAATCCCGGGGGTCTATTCCTGCTAGGGGAGGGCAGTGAGGTGTAGGAGTTAGCACAGGGGGGACTGGGATCCCGAATCCCGGGGGTCTATTCCTGCTAGGGGAGGGCAGTGAGGTGTAGGAGTTAGCACAGGGGGGACTGGGATCCCGAATCCCGGGGGTCTATTCCTGCTAGGGGAGGGCAGTGAGGTGTAGGAGTTAGCACAGGGGGGACTGGGATCCCGAATCCCGGGGGTCTATTCCTGCTAGGGGAGGGCAGTGGAGTCTAGGAGTTAGCGCGGGGGGCCTGGGATTCTGCATGCTGGGTTCTAGCCCTGCTGTGGGAGGGCAGTGGAGTCTAGGAGTTAGCGCGGGGGGCCTGGGATTCTGTATGCTGGGTTCTAGCCCTGCTGTGGGAGGGCAGTGGAGTCTAGGAGTTAGCGCGGGGGGCCTGGGATTCTGCATGCTGGGTTCTAGCCCTGCTGTGGGAGGGCAGTGGAGTCTAGGAGTTAGCGCGGGGGGCCTGGGATTCTGCATGCTGGGTTCTAGCCCTGCTGTGGGAGGGCAGTGGAGTCTAGGAGTTAGCGCGGGGGGCCTGGGATTCTGCATGCTGGGTTCTAGCCCTGCTGTGGGAGGGCAGTGGAGTCTAGGAGTTAGCGCGGGGGGCCTGGGATTCTGCATGCTGGGTTCTAGCCCTGCTGTGGGAGCGTTACGGGCAAAGGCGCCGGTGTCTGTCCCCTCCTCAGAGACAGGCTGTGGCCAGCGCACCGAGTGACGACGCTTGTGTGGGGCTGGGTGCGTGTCGAGTCTCCTGGTCAGCCCTCCCCCTCTTCCGCCCCCTCCCCCGCTGGTGACACAATGCGCACGGATGAGCAGATTGAGAAACGTTCCCTGCTTCCTGCAGAGAAACTCACAGGGACATCGAATCCGCGGCTCCTTGCTGCCGTGGGGCGGGGGGCCCTGGCGGGAGGGGGGCCCCCAATGGGTGGGACAGCAGGACGCCTGGGTTCTATTCCTGCCTGGCTA